ACTCCCAAAGGGAAAAGAAAGAAAGGAGTAGGTGCACCTGATTAATTAAATGCGTCATTAGTTTGGTGAATTTCACCACTTGAAGAGAAATTTACCAGACGACGAAAGCAGATTTGCAGATCAAGTTTGAATGAGTCGTAATTCCCTTTTCCACTAGCATGAAATGATAATAGTTAAACTCACCAGAAGAACTACTAACTTCAGACATCCTATCCCGACGACTGAGGGAAAAAAACGAGAGACAGATAGAAAGAGTGAATGAGAAGGGAATGTTATGTAGAACCGGTGGATAGATAGATCTTGAAAATTGAAAAAAGGCAAATTCTATATCGTCTTTTTTAAAATAAAAGCATATTCAGTGTTTGCTTTGTTGTTGTTTTTTATATTCAATTTTTGTTTTCACAAACAGGGTTCACTAAGGGGGCTCTCGTGGCCTAGAGGTTAAGGTGTTCGCCTCTCATTCAAAGGTCCCAGGTTCGAATCGGGGTAGGGGCGGAAAAATTGTCTTCTCTAAAATTGTCTTCTCCAAAATTGTCTTCTCTAAAATTGTCTCCTTTCACATCCTTTCCTGCTCTCCAACAATATTCTGTCGTCTGCTTTCGTCTCCACTTTCTGCCCCCACCCCTTCACCTCCCTTGCCCCCTCCTCTGGGCTCCTGACTCTTTCTGCAGCCTTTCTACTGCCACTCCTTGGCTCCTTTTTACTGCTGTCTTTCCGACACACCTATGAACTTCTGGTAGGAAAAATCTACACCTTGCCTTCTCGGACAAGGGCAAAAAATCTTGGAGGTTCCGTGAGCAAGTTGTGCACGTTAAAGATCCCTTGGTGGTCTAAAATCGATAAAAGTAGGCTTCGGCCGCCAACCGGGCAAAATTAAAAATTTCCTACCAACTGAAAATGTTTAGTGTGCCCCGCGCGCTTATATGACTTTATGCAGTTGCGAGCGCCGTAAAAAAAAAAACTTACCGAAAAAAAAAGTTTTCACTAACTATCTTCGTTTTCCTTTCTTGTTATCATCACTGAAATTATGTAGATCTACTAGTATCAAACTCGTTGTCCATAATGTGCTCGTGTGCAGGCATCGGCGTTTCAAGCGATGAAAGTGATTGTACATCGGCCGGAATTTCCCATCGCAACTCCTCGCCTAGTGTCCCTCTTGATATGACTGGTAACGTCCGTCTTTCCCTTTGTTTTAATTCTGATTGCTCCGCCCGTGCTGCTTCGCCTCGTCCATAGTGTAGCTTTACCCTTTGTTTTCATCAAAAGTCAATATTGGCTTTAATAAAAGGAAAGTAAGTTTAGATCTATACGTTTGTCTTAATGGTTACACAGACTAAATCATTTTGTCTAAAGTTTGGAAAAAAGTATTGTCTCAATAATTATTTAGGACACGGTAGCTGGTTTTATCGTTCGGGACTATGATAAGACTAGCAAGACCACATAAGTGATGAATGATATCGTTTTATATTCACTTTATTGATATACATTCTAAAACACAATTTGTGACTATAGATCGACTGGGAAAAGAAGATGCCAAATTACAACAGGGCAAAGACCAACGATCAAGTTAAGAAATTTACGAAAACAAGAAGGAAAAACCGCACATTGGCTACAACTACCACTGGCAAAGTGGCAGCACGTAAATTTTATGGGCTAGTATTACTAAAGAAAGAAATGTAAAAGCTACGCAAAAGAGGTAACAGCATCCTGGTCAAGTTAGAAGGAAAGGGCAGAAAATGATAAGCATAGAGAAAGGTACCACTCAAAAAAGGAAAAGGGTGAATACGCAGAGAAGAAGAAAAAGAAGTCCAAGATATTCGAGAAAAAAGTGTCAAACAGATGCCCACATCCTGCAAACAAACTGTCCACAGAGTTATAGAAGTCCTTCCAAAAGTCAAAGCAGCTCGAAAGCAAACTTTGGACGATGTACATCAGAAAAAACAGTGCCCACAGTACACAAATCCAAAGACTGGAAACCAAACACGGAGATGGCGAGAGAGTTACATGTTTACAAACACATCGGATCCATCGGCAGTACACGTCTCTTCGGAAAAGATTTCGATTATGGGGGCACTCAGGTGGGACTTTAGCTGAAAATTGGGTCAAAATATCTTTTCTGAGCTTTTTGCACTATTGAATACCTGAATCTGTCTAGATATCAAATCCGGTGTATTATTTTGCTGAGATAAATATGCTGTAGGTGAAATTTTGTTTCATATATATACTAATAGTATCCCAGTAGGTCATTTGGACTTTTAAGTTTTAGTAAGACTTTCACGGCACTTGCAACACAATAAGATCATCGAATGTTTTACTTCAACGGCCATTTTCTATGAACTGTGTTTTTCATTCTCCCCTGCTGGTGGGGGGCCCCGTAGTTTTACTATGGGGGAGCAAAGAATACACCTGCCGTGATACTGCGTGTCGTGAGAGGCGACTAAAAGTGCATAGGTCTGGTCGCCCGAAAAGTGCCAGTTTGCGGAGGGCCAACTACCCAACCCAGTAAAAAAACAGTAAGTTACAGAAACACGGACAAACACAGCTTTTTATTTTTCGATCTTGGGAGACGGAGGAGCTTCTGTACATGGAATAACATCCAGAGACTAGCCCAGGATAGAGAAAAGTGGGGGGTGTTTGTCCGTGGCCTATACCCTGGTGCAGGGTGAGAAAGGCAATGATGATGATGTGTTTTTCATTGACAGCATGCCATAAACATTCATGTGTACTGCCGATGGGTCATGCCATGCCATGACTAATCTCCAACCAGATTATGAAGGAGACTGTAAGCAGACAGACTCTGGGATGAATCCTGAAGAGGGGGGGAGAGCAGAGATGGACATGTTCCGACTGTTGTGACCCCAGCATTGAGGACAAGGTGTGACAAGGTGTGATGCCATGAAAATCCTAAAATCTCGCTTACTTATTGCCCATGAGACTTGAAATTTGGTACAGTGATAGCTTATCCAGATTTCTAGGAATTGAGCATACGCACAAGACAGGACATTAGTAAATACATGTTCTACGAGCTGAAACAACCCGCTCCGTGAAATATTCTCTCTCTCTCTCTCTCTCTCTCTCTCTCTCTCTCTCTCTCTCTCTCTCTGTGTGTGTGTGTGTGTGTGTGTGTGTGTGTGTGTGTGTTTCAGTGACCTCACTGCAGTTGGTACGAATGAATTTATTATATCGGTCTGTTCTTGCTTTTTAATTAAAAAAAAATATATTATCGTTTACTACGGGTAATTGAAATTCCGATGTCAGTAGGTGGCTATGGTCACTTAGCATTATTTCCACCTTTTTTAGAACGTTTGTTTTGTGCAGATATTCAAAGTTACTTAGGTCTCTACCAATTGTTCTTGATTCCTTTCTGATTAGCTTGTTTATTTTTATGATGTGCTGTCTTCCCAAATAGCTACCATAGCAAAAGATACCAAAATGTATCAGCTTCTATTGTGGTGGTGTAGAATATCTGAAGGATGGATGGATTTAGATTGAAGAACTACGGACAAGGAACTATTCACCCATGGTTAATTACTACAAGTGTGCCAAGTGGGATGCTACAAGACACACAGTCGATGAGGTCTCAAACGATCTTCAACATGATCACCATGCCGGGAAAACATTTTGGGAAGTAAGCATCATCATAATTTCACAAAAAATCAGTCATGAAATCTCGAAAGATAGAGCATTGTTTGCTGCCATGAATATTGGCGATGTATTTTGACAATGTTAGTAGCGATAATGAAGAGGATGTGAATGCCTTGTTGATATTCTGCTGCTATTGCTTCTGTTTTTGTAGTTGGAGCAGCTGCTGCTGCTGTTGCTACTGTTGCTGCTGCTGCTGCTGCTGCTGCTGCTGCTGCTGCTGCTGCTGCTGTTTTTGCTACTGCTGTTTTTGCTGCTGCCTTTACTATTGTGAAAATTAATTGCAGCTCAGTCTGGATTTCGTGTTTCACTTTGTAACTGTCACAGGCTTTTGGTCCCGTAAATTTTTAGTCTCTATAATATGCTCAGTGAGCCTACGAGTTGATGTCTTTTTCTTCTAAAGACACTGCAGATAACATCAAGGAATTATTTTAATTTGTCTTTAAGTTCTCTGAATGTATGCACATTGTTCTTAAAAACAAATGGTCCTTTTTTGCACGTTTCTTTTTTTATCTTTTGTCCTGTAACGTTTAAAACGACCACAATTAGCCATTGTTGCTGCTAAAAACACTGATCGATTTTGTTCATATTTACTGAAACTACAGCTTTGAATTACTTGTTTTATAGATGCATTTTTAAGTTGTACTTTTATTAGTATTTTTGTAAATACAAGTCTAATTTTTTTGAAAATATTTTTTACGGTAACATTTCAAACATTATGATTGTTTGAGAACTATTTTTTTCTTCAAGAAATGTTTTGAAATGTGTGTGAACAAATAATGAATAAAGGACATTGTGCTTCCCAATCATTTTTTTTTCTTTTCTTTTATTACGTTTCATGTTTTAATATAATAACCGGTATGGTTGTGTCCTGTAACATTTAAGACCACAGCGCAATAGTCTAAGTTTCACTTTCGTTTCCAAAGAAACTAACCAAGCTTCAGTTTCAGCCCTGTAGGGATCAAAACTAGACAATTTAAAGGTGCATTATATATATATATATATATATATATATATATATATATATATATATATATATATATATATATATATATATATATGCACTGTATAAAATTATATCTTGGCGCGCGGGGGTGGGTGGTGGGGTGGAGGGCACCACCGGTAGGTCCTACTTCTTTACTTTCACTCTGTTGTTTCTGTCTGTCTGTCTTTCTTTTTCCCAGCACTAAATTAGGATCCATATTATGTCGATCTGCTTCTCTTTATTCAAACAGACAGACAAACAGACAGACAGACAGACAGACAGACAGACAGACAGACAGACAGACAGACAGACAGACAGACAGACAGACAGACAGACAGACCAACCAAAGAGCCACAGAGCGTGCGTCACTCACCCACGAGCTGTGCCACAGAAAGCAGCAGGCTGAGCAAGCCACAGACAGATGTCCACGTCACGGGCGGCCGCATCTCGACCTCTGACCTATGGCCTCTGACGTCACATCCACGGCTACTCCACGGGAGGAGATCTGGTCAGAAGATGGTCAAAATCAAAACATAGTCAGATTATAGTCAGAAGATGGTCTATATTAAAAGTTAGTCAGATAGTCAGATTATAGTCAGAAGATGGTCTATATTAAAAGTTAGTCAGATAGTCAGATTATAGTCAGAAGATGGTCTATATTAAAAGTTAGTCAGATAGTCAGATTATTATATAGTCAGAAGATAGTCAAAATATAGCTAAAAGTAAGCACCACAAAGATAAATCTAAATTGCCTACAAGTAGATTTTCTGCATTGGATCAGAAAGAGCTGTACGAGCTATGAAATTCACGTTTAAATAATGAAAATCAAACAATAAATTTTAAAAAGTTATCACGGTTCAAATTCATTCAAAACGTAGAAAATATATGCAGCGTTCAAAACTTGGAAAAAGCAGGGTTTTGAACAGTCACACAATCATGTAAAGACAATGAGCATACTCATTTATTATGTCTTCTTGAAGTCGAGGACAATATTTAGGCATACAAAGACTAAAATTATCCTCAGGGTTATAATTCCGGTTCCGTAAGCCCATAAAATTGTAGAGCCTAAAAATGACTTTTCAGTAAAACAATCATTGCTTGCTATACTCCAAAATGCAAATTTCAGAGGTCTGTTGCTTGGAAAGTTGTTATCCTGCAAAGTCAAAACTGTGTGATGTTCTTGATAACAATGCAGGGTACAAGCTGATTTTTTTTTTTCAAGCATAGAACAAAGATTCTTTGAAGTAGGCCATCGGGAAAATGACCGATTGACTCATTTCCGCACTTTGGCAAACAGAACAGGCTAAATCACATCTTTCATTGTCAGTGTCAACTTTTAAAAAATTATGATAATTATTCCAGACATGAGACTGGTATTTCATATTGTAAAAATGTAAAAAAATGCCGCTTGATCTAAAATACCAATACTTTTAATTTTAAGCTTAAAAAAGAGAAAAGTTTACCATTACTTCTATGATTTTGCTCACACTGGTATTGCTTTAGATCTACACTTTCACAGATTATCTTGATAAAAATAAGTAGGCTATATGTAAAAGTATTGAATAATAATCACGAAATCAGAAATGGCTCGTTACTTAGTGAAAAAAATACCAACTATTTTTCAAAGAACAGCGCAAGAAACAGTCTCATTTGTTTGTTTACCAGATCTAGCACACAACAGGCGCTCACTCCGAAGCGTCCTACTAGGCGGACGTCACGTCGGTCAGCTTGTGCGCAGACAAGGAAGGAAAAAGGGGAAGAGGGGGGGGGGGTGCTTCTATCACAGCGAAATGTTTCCATCGACCAGGAAAGCACAGATTTCCTATAATATATGTACACCAATGTGTTGAGTCTATGCGGATATTGTTTTCTTTTTAAAATTAAAAAAATGAGCAATTGCTGGTTATTCCATATTTTGTTTTCTTTGTATTTCTTATAGCTTCTTTTGTCGCTTTATCATTTCGACTTCGATTTAAATATAAAGGATGACCTCTCCTCTTTAATGGTAAGGAAAAATTAGGTCACTTCCGTGTCTCCTGGTCGACGGGTTCTCGTTGGAATAACCCTACAGTCCAGAAATCTTCGTGAAAAAACGCGTCGAGCGCGGCGATCCACCCATGGACCCTATTGTCGTTTTTCCAAAGGATTGTTAATAAATTGTCCTCAGTTACAACAAAAAAAAAAAAAAAAAAAAACATATTTTGAAAAAGAAAAGAACACTGAATAGGACTATGTAAGTTTTCTTTTGTGTGTCATCACTATTTAGGAGAAAAATGGCATAAATTTAATTCAAAATCGACGCTTCTCGCTCGCTCACAGTTTTTCCAGTGAGCAAACTCGCACTGTTGGCCTACCTACTAAAAGATGGTTAAAAGAAGGTCAAAGATGGTCAAAAGATGGTCAAAAGATGGTTACAAGATAATTAAAAGACATTCAACAGATTGTCAAAAATAGTCAAAGGCTGTCAAAAGATAGATAAATGATGGAGAAAAGATATATTTTGAGCCACCAAACTTCAAAATCCTGCTTCAAAAGGTCATAAAATCCTTAATAATAGTTGTACCGTAACCATTGAGGTATCATTTTGTTTATTTTTAAAATGTAGAATCTAATAAAAACAAAACAATTAAAAACAAATATATTGAAAAGAAAATATTTAGCGTTCAACGGCATCTGTAAACAGCCTAAGTGATGATGCTATAGTGTGAGTACCGTGAGCCGGCTGAACTGGCGCGAGCCGTAAACTTAAAAAATGAAAGTCACTACTCACATTGTTGAAGACCTGTTGCTGTCGTCGCGTCTTCTGTTGAACTACTCACATCTGCAGTGCATGACGTAGAACCCAACGACCCGTGAGCTTACAGGATGTGAGTAGAGATAATTGTGTCACGACGCGGTGGAATCAGGCGCTCGTCAACTTTTAGGCACACGGAGTTCTTGGTATGGATCTACTCGTAAATCCTGTTCCTTTGCCTTGCTATTGATGAAAAAAAACCCAACTTCGTCCTTCTAACTTGAGTTAAAGTCAAGATAGTTGCGATTTGGGTTGTAGCTTACGGGGTCACCAGGTGTCACAGGTTTAAAAAAGAAATAGCGAGAAAATGACCGCCATTCCAAAGTTTGGTAATTTCCAAGGCGTGGGTGTCTTTTTTTTGTAACTTAATCAAATTGCCAACCGGAAAGAAAAATGTCAATTTCTCCGAGTTCATTATTTTGACGAGAGCCTGATTTCACTACGATGCGACACAGTTGCCCTGTCTAAAAAAACGCGGTGCATGATTCAATACGGTCAAGCATTTCAGGTTACCCGAAACTAATAAAATACAGTCAAACCTGTGTAAGACGGCCACCCATTGTCAAGGAGAAAAGTGTCCGTATAAGACAGGTGGCCGTCTTAGGCAGGACTGATCAAGAAGAAGAAAATGACCCATTCCCATCTGAGGTCCCAATCGAAAGTAGCCCCATTGTTGCTGTTTTTGTTGTTGGTGGTGGTGGTTTGTATTTTGTTTGTAATTTTTATTTTGTTGCTGATTTTGCACAAGGGTGGCAATAAAACGAAATGCATTAGACAAGGAAGACCGAGTGCAATGTTAAAACAAACACATGGGTCGCCACCACTCGGAGAACGAGCGAAGCTTCTGTCACAAGTTCATGTTGACATCCTATAGTAACTTTGTTACAGACTAGGTAAACAGTGACCATTCATCTCACTTAGATTTGTGTATGAGTTTTGGGAGGGGTTTATGGGTTTTGAGGGATCACACGCTTACCTCACCAGCAGCTGAAAATTGGTAGCTATTGGTCAACAGTGGGAGGGGCCTACGCAACTGTGATCGGTTGGAGGGACTACCTAACAAAAACGGCAGGTGATTGAATTATGACGGCTCGCCTACAACGCCGTGTGCCAATGCACAATTTATGACAAAACGTAATGGAGTCTCTAAGGTGGCCGTCTAAGACAGGTGTTATTGCTTTGTGTGATAGGGGTTGTGTGGTAAAACATGGTGGCCGCGGCCGCGTTGGACAGGTGCCCGTTTTACACAGTTAAATTATATAGAAAAAACGCAAGGGGGGAAATGGAAAGTGGCCGTTTTTACAGGTGACCGTCTTATAGAGGTGGCCGTCAGGGCAGGTTTGACTGTAGTTTATTTGCTTGTTTGTTTGGTTGAGTAAAGAGCTGCATATCGACGCAATAATCTAGTATCTGCGTTGTTGCGGGGGAGGGGGGGTGGTGTCCAAAAGTTGCCAAAAGTTGCTACAAAAAATGGCAAAAGTTGCCATAAAAGTTGCCAATAATGTTCAAGCTTTCAACTCTCTGTGAAGACGTATATAGCAATATGTTGATAGAGGTAACTTAATCTATAGCACCAGAATTTCTTGAGCTCTGTTTTTAAGCACCCAGAAAATCATTGTAGCCACACAGAGTGTGAAAATGGGAAAAATAAAGGTTTCACAACAGAATGAAATCAACATTAGAACAGCACATTAAACAACCACAAAAATTAACACACACACACACACACACACACACACACATATATATATATATATATATATATATATATATATATATATATATATATATATATATAAGGGCGTGTGCCCACCTATACGAAGATTGGTCTTTTAACCCTAAACGTGTTCAATTCAAGAAAAAGTGCAGGATATTAGATTCTATATGTGAATTATGGAATCACACACAAGGGGCCTGCCTGTGTCCGTATTCGGTTTTGGTGGAGACACGCTCTAACAACATAACACATAATTTGTATTTTTATAAAAAGGTAGGAACAACATCAAATTAAATGACGTTACGTTATGTTAAAAAAAACAAAGAAAAAACCCAAAAGAAAACACATCAGAACAAAAACAAGAAAAAAAAGTTAAAACACCAGCAAACTAAAACACAACAGAGAGGGAAACATTTAAGAAACAGCAATGTAAATAGTATGTAATGTACTTATAATAATATTCTTCACATGAAAGTAACAAATCAACGTGGGGTCAACAAGTGAGAAAGAGACGAAGTGAAGCGGAAGTGAAAATAAACTTTCTTTCTAAAAGTAAAGAGGTTCGGTTTCTTTTTTTTTTCTCGTTTTTTTTATATAGATATACATAGCATGAAAATATGTATATATATATACATATATATATGTATATATATATACATATTTTCATGCTATTTTAGACATATTACCTATTTTGTTAGAATATAAAATAGAGATAGAATATAAAATAGAGATAGAGGCTTAGATCTTGATCTAGATCTAGACTTTTTAAAACAAACCTTGGGTTAGTATTGTAGTACAATGTGAAGAAAGCTCTTCAAGGTTATGTTGAATTGTGTCCCAACTATCGCCACAGTCAAGTATTCACAGCAGAATAGGAGGCTGAATTGACGCAGTGCATGTTGAAATGTGCCCAAAGATCCTATGGTTTGACAACTGCTAACTGCAGAAAACTCGTCCATGAAGTCGTTGTTGCAAATCACCGAAGACCTTTCGTACCCATCTTCGTGGGATGATGCAAAATGTGCCGGAAAGGAGTGGGAGATGGGTTTTCTTTGGAGACATCCGCAACCCAGTTTGTGACAACCAGTGGCTACCTCATTGGCAAGAGCCACAGCTTTCAACAGACATTCTGTGAGGACATTTTTCAACTTGCTGCACTCTCTTCCTAGATAGTGACATGGGTCTCTCTGGAGCTCAGATACTCAATCTTGACGAAAAAGGAATCACAACAGTTCACAAAGTCACAAAAGTCATCGGACCTTGTAGTGGCCTACTGAGCAGTTGGGCCAGATAACATCAGATGAATGTGGCGTGGTGTGTGGAGTTCTCAACAAAAGCCACCCAGTTTTACTATGTTGTGGTTGTTGTCAAAGAAAGAGACAAAGGTGATGTTGGGGTTAATTTTTTCAGAAGAAAGGGCAAAAAGAGCCCACACTTTGTAAAACCAGTCGTGGGAGATATTTCCTCAGTCCATATTGACTCAATCAGAGCCATGTTACCCCCCCCCCCCCCCCCCACATTCTGAATTCAGAGGCACTATTGCAAGAACCATAGAGGTGACATCTGTTTCTAGGTTGACTTAGGACACTTTGGTGGTCTTAATTTGCGTTAAATTTCATATTTGTGCCGTTGTGAGGAATGTATAGTT